ATTTATGAACACGTGTTGACATTATTATTTTGATTCTATATTGAGCATGATTTCTAAGTTTTATTATCGTGTGTAATGCTTTCAATTCTCAGGGCCTGAGAGTTGAACGATATCATGGATTAGGTTGAGATCGAGAGATGAAACCTGATTTGTCTTAGGTAATAAAATCATAGATTGAGCGAACGCTAGAGATAGGTTACCGCGATCTATGAGGCTCCGGTAAATTCCATAGAGCTTAGTGATCTCTTAGCTCCTAAATCCAACTTAGAGATATCTTGGGTTGTTGCTTAAGGGTTAATTTGCTAATTGCTCGAGAGAGAGAGCTAGTGGAAGACTAGGGGATTTGGCCTTTAGAATATGCTTAATTAGGTTAACAACAGGTATCAATGCATAGGATTAAATTGGTGCGAAATCTATGCCCTAGGTTTAGTCATATTGATCTTTACTTCAAAGTGTTTACAAATTCTGCCTTTATTTAGTACTTAGCTTTTAGTTTATTTACTTTTTCATTGAATTCATTCTTAAACTTCAGTTTAATCAAATAGAAATAGAATATAATAGTTTGGTACTTGGTAGGTAGTTCCCTTGGGATTCGACACTCGTTTACTCGAGATTTACTACTTGCACGATTTCGTACACTTGTGAAAAGCCTGTCAGGTAACTTGTCATCACATGGATTGTATGAGCGTGAAAGTAAGGCCACAACTTTCTAGAAACGATCAGTAGGGCATAAGCTAACTGCTCTATTTTTGGATACCACATTTTGTCATCCAACAGGCGCTTGCTCGCGTAATACACTGGCCATTGAACCTTGCTCTCCTCCCGAACTAATGCTGCACTAACCGCATACTGAGAGACGGACAAATACAGGAGCAGAATTTCTTGCAGGAGAGGCTTGGACAGAAGAGGTGGCCTTCCGAGGTGCTTTTTAATGCTCTGAAATGCTTGTTCACACTCGGGAGTCCACTCAAACTTCTTATTGGCCTTGAGAATGTTGAAGAATGGCAAGCAGCGATCTATTACCCTCAATATGAAGCGACTAAGCGCTGCTATTCTCCCATTGAGACTTTGGACCTGCTTTTTTCTGGTCAGGCTCTTCATGTCAAGGAGAGCTTGGATTTTCTTGGGTTGATGTCTATTCCCTATTGGTTAACCATATACCTTAGGAATTTTCCTGAGGATACTCTGAATGAGCATTTGAAATGATTGAACTTCATTCTATATTCCCAGAGGATGTCGAACATCTCAGCGAGATGTACTATGTGATCTGAAGCCACATGCGACTTTACTAGCATGTCATCAATATAGACTTCCATCGACTTCCCGATCTGCTCAAAAAACATTCGGTTAACCAACCGCTGGTAAGTCACACCAGCATTTTTTAGTCTGAAGGGCATAACCCTATAACAATGCTGCCCCTGATCTATTACAAATGAGGTATGCTCTTCGTCCAGCTCATACATTAGAATTTAATTATATCCCGAGTACGTATCCATAAAACTCAGCAACTCGTGCCCAGGGGTGGCATCAATGAGCTGATCGATTCTGGACAGGGAAAAACTATCTTTTGGACAGGCTTCGTTAAGGTCGATGAAGTCGACACAGGTCTGCCACTTGCCATTGGCTTCTTTACCAGAACCGGATTGGTAATCCAGCTCGAGTAGAGCGCTTCTCGGATGGATTTGTTCTGAAGGAGATTATCTACATCGATTTTCAAGGCAGTATATCACTCCAGATCTATCGCTCTTCTTTTTTGACTGACCGACCTGGCTTCACTATCGATGCTCAGATCATGGCAAATGATGTCCGGGCTGATCTCGACTATATTGGCGTGTGTCCATGCGAACACATCAATGTTGTCTCTAAGGAAACTGGTCAGGTCGTTAGCGAGTAGAGGGTTGAGATTGCTTCCAATCCTTAACACTCGACTCAGCTCGCCCTGGTCGACTGATACTTCTGACAGATCCTCAACCGACCCATTGGAAGGGCATTCCTGGATGCGAGGATCCGAATTATCCTCGGCTAGGCCAGGCTGTGGTTCAATCCGACTGATCACCATAGCTTGTTCGAGAATGCCATGCGGGATGTATTTCCCCCTGTATGCCATCTACACTACTCTTACATAACAGTCGCGAGACGTGCGCTGAGATTCGCTTACTTCCCCTATCCCCGTCGGGGTGGGAAACTTCATCTTGAGATGGTAGATTGAAGTGACGGCTTTGAAGATCCTCAGTAAAGTCGCCCTAGGATGCAATTGAAAGCGGAGGGGCAATCCACTACCAAGAATTCAGTGACCCTGGTCACTTCATCATAGTCACCCAACGTGACTGGAAGCAAGATCGTCCCTTTAGGGATCAAGTGATCCCTTGTAAAGCCATATAGGGGAATAGAAGCGGGCTTCAGGTCGGCCTCATCTAATTCCATTCTCTCGAAAGCTCGCTAGAATAGGATGTTCGCAACACTTCCGTTATCCACCAACATTCTGTAGACGTCGCAGTGCCCTATTTAGGGCGTGATGATGAGAGCATCATCATGGGGGTGATGCAATCGGATTGTGTCTTTCTCGGACAAGGCGATCTCCTCCTCTTTGCGGACCTTGGATGGTCGCGACGTCACACTCATCACACGAATAGGGTCATGATACGCTGCACGAGCATATCTCTCTTGGGCACCTTGCAAGTTTCCCCCGAGGTGTGGCCCCCTGAAGATTATTCTCACGCTACAAATACCTTTGAGATCGCGATGCTTCTTGCCCAGTTCCTCTCTTCTCCCTCACGAGAGCAGAGTCATTAACGTATTCTTTGAAGTGCCACTATTTGATAAGCTCTTTGATTGCCTATTTGAGAGCTCGGCACTAATCGGTGTGATGCCTATTGTCCCTATGGTAGCAACAGTACTTTTTACTGTTTCTAGCTAAGGAGGGACCTTTCATGGGCTCAGGCTCCCCGAGCAGGCCGGCTTCTTTAGACTTATCCAGAATGGCAGAGACAGACGCATTTAGAGGGGTATATTGAGCTCTGTCGCGATCACGATGAGGAATTAGGGCATAGGACTTTTTGGGCTCAAAACGCTATTTCTTTTCCTTTCGCTGATCGTCGCTAGCCCATTTGCAATCAGACCTCCTATTCTCCCCTCAACGGGGAGCACTACCTGAAGGAATGGGGTCATGGTAGCTAAAGGCCACCACGAAACTTTCGATCTGGAGGTGTTTCTCAGTAAGGTTATAGAAGCAGGTGAGAGAAACATCATACTTCGATTGTAGCTCTTTCCATAAGTCTGTATGCAAGCGAACTCCCGCAATAATGAGAGTGCGAACAGATTCTTCGGGAGTATGAGCCACTTTATAGAGTTCCCTGTGGAACCTGTCTATATAGGATTGGAAAGGCTCACCCCTCTATTGTCATATATTGCTCAGATAGCTCAACGGCATCGAGAACTTCATGTTTGCCTGGAAGTGTCTTAGGAACATCGAGCTCATTTGAGGCCATGAGCCGATCGAACCTATCGAGAGCGACCTGAACCATCGCTTGGCATAGGTGGTGAGGGTCACCGCCAAGCAGTAGCATTTTGCCAAGTTGGAGACTTGGTGGAGTTCCATAAGGTCGTTGAACTCATATAAATAATCTGCGGATCGGCATTCCCATCGAATGCTCGCATGTCGGGCATTCTGAATCTCGATGGGAGATGAGCGGCCAATACGGCTGGAGTAAAGGGGGACACTTCTACGACCTGCCTTCGCTCATTTTTGCTGAGCGTTTAACTGATCTAAAGCTCGTTGTAGCTCCTCAATCTGAGACAGCAGAGTTATTCGGCCAGATCTACGACCAGATCTGGCCATCGACAGCCACAAAAGTCCAGATCTGGCCATTAGCGACGACCAAAGATATGGCCGTCGTTGTTGGTCAACGATGGCCAAGATTTGGCCGTCATTGATCGTCAACGACGGCCATTTCTTTGGCCATCAGATCCACTGTGGATCTGATCGGAAAAGGTCAGATCGATAAATTACCAGCCAGTTCTGGTCATTTATAGGCCGTTGTGATAGATTCCGGCTACCACCGATGGTGGTTGCCAGAATCTGGCAAGTATGAGTGGGTGAGGGTGTTTTTGTTAATTTTTAAACTTTTTTTCTAGGGGTATTTAATGAAATTAATAAATTTAATGGGTCTAAAAGTAATTTAAAAAATATACTAATATTTCTCAAATAACAAAACAAACAAGTATTTTGAGAATATGAGTAGAAATAATAAGCCAAACGGAGCCAAAAATTTTATGCTTTTTAAATGTTCCATATGTGTGGTAAATTCGATTACATTGTTACATATATTATAATGAAAATTGACATATTATAATTTTTAAAATATTTCTATGATAAATTACAATAATTATTTATAATCTTCAATGTAATTAAATAATTATTAATATAAACAAAATTTACAATTTTTACGAGGTTAATTGAACAGTTTCGCTAATAGAATTATAGCCAATTCATATCCAAATCCATAAACTATACGAAGCAAATGTTAAAAAATATTCGTCTTTATCTTAAATTTGTTCTATCGGTTGCAAGTTTTTATTAGAGTTTTAATTGAAATAATATCCAACCATTGGATGATTTCCTCACAAATTAAACAACTCCTCTTTTTTAACATATATTACGTTAAGCGTAACGTATGTAAAGCCTAAAAATAAATAAATATGTGTGGGTTAAGCCTATATTTGTACCAAAACTCAAAGCCTTCATTTCATCACAAAATGCTGTATACTTAATGATTTAAACCATCTTTTTTAAATCAATTAACAGTTAAAAGTGAACTGCTATCTTCATCCTTTAATATCAAATTCTAAGTATGCACAACACGCAACTGTGACAATGTATATCCATTCCCGCTCTTTTTTCTCCAACTTAAAACCAATTTTGGTATTTTGGTTGACCAATATATGTGTGTGTGTGTGTGTGTGTGTGTGTGTACTTTGGCTTCCTTCTTTGCTATCTCACATCAATCCTTGATTCAACCCTTGATATCTCTGCCATGGCACTTTTGCATTTTCTTCTCGTTTCGGTTTTGATCTGTGTAGTCTTAGGTACTAATAATTACATTCTTCCTACAGTTTCATTCTTTTTCTTCAATGTATGCTATGAATTTTGTAACTAACCATGATACCAATGTGATATTCTTTTTTCAGGCACAGATGCTGCAGTATTTACCGTGCAAAACAAATGTAAGGAAACAATATGGCCGGGGATTGTAACCGGGGAAGGGAGACCTCAACTCAATAGTGGAGGGCTTACATTGAATCCAGGACAATTCGTTCACATTAATGCACCAACCGGGTGGTCTGGCCGATTTTGGGCACGTACTGGCTGCACATTTGATCCCTCGGGCAAGGGAAAGTGCATCACCGGTGACTGTGGTGGTGTTCTCAACTGCGCGGGGGCAGCAGGTGTACCACCTGTATCACTGGCAGAGTTTACACTTAATAGTCCAATGGATTTTTATGATGTTAGTCTTGTTGATGGGTACAATTTACCAATTTCTGTAATCCCGTTTCGCGGTACTGGTGATAAATGCAAGGCTGTTAAGTGTGTTTCGGACTTGAATCAAAAGTGCCCCATAGAGTTACAACAGGTAGAGAATGGCAAAGTGGTGGCATGTAGAAGTGCATGCTTAGCGTTCAATAAGCCAGAATTTTGTTGCACTGGTTATTTTGGAAGCCCCGCTACATGCAAACCGTCGGAGTTCTCCAAAATATTCAAGGAATCTTGTCCGATGGCTTACAGTTATGCCTATGATGATCAGACTAGTACCTTCACCTGCAATAGAGGCGATTACTTGATTCGCTTTTGTTGAAAGGAGCTAATAACTTAGATTAGCTTTTGCATAGATTTATATCACGATTGTATGTGAGCATAGATTTATATTACGATTGTATGTGAGCATGTATATAATGCTGTACTACATGATCCATAAATGCGTACTAACAATGTACATTGAGTATGCATTGTATTATATATGTTTTTAATACGAGAATATAGACTTAAATCAACATCTAAGTTGTATTAGTTTATCAATAATTTTAGCATTTGCATACGGCCTTTTTTCTTGGCTAAGATGATTCACATTTATTGTCACTCTCTTTTACTGCTATACTATCAATGGATATTACTTGGAACATAAATGATACGTGGAAGGGGTGGCATAATTAGAGATGAAAATTTTAATTTTAATTTTCAAAACAATTAGTATTATTGAAAATGAATCGCAAAAAGAAAAATCTACTAAACTTTTTGAGATCATGCCATGTCACATTGATGATTGTATGGAGGCATAAGTCAGGGTTATAAGTAAATTTCGGAAATCTGTATCTCTTTCATTCAAGATTATACGACACTTGTCACAATCTATATGATCCATTTTCTTTACAGAGGAACAATGCATTTTTATCCATTCACACTCTTTCTCTTGCACATTATTTTCGGCATGTTGGTCAACAGCCATTTCATATATATATATATATGTACCCCTTGAGTCCTTTGATAGAACAAATCACTTTCTAAATATTTACTCATTGTTTCAACCAATTTTCCATGGGGATCATCCATTTTCATCTCCTTTTGGTTTTGATCTCTGTCTTAGGTACCAAGAATCACATTCATGTCCAATGTATGTTACAAAATTTTGTTCCTTGGTATGTGCATATTTAACTAATCTTGATATTATGCTACAGGCACAGATGCTGCAGTTTTAACATTAGAAAACAGATGCAAGGACGCAGTATGGCCTGGGATCCTGGCTGGATCAGGGAAACCTCTACTCAACAATGGATGGATTGCTTTGAAACCAGGAGAAAGAATTGACATCAATGCACCACCTGGGTGGTCTGGCCGATTGTGGGGACGTACTGGTTGCCAATTTGATCCATCAGGCAAGGGAAAGTGCATAACTGGTGACTGTGGTGGCGTGCTAAACTGCGAAGGGGCAGGAGGTGAACCACCAGTATCACTAGCTGAGTTTACCCTTGATAGTCCAATGGATTTTTATGATGTTAGTCTTGTTGATGGCTACAATTTGCCGATGACTATAATCCCTTCTGGTGGTACTGGTGATAAATGCAAGGAGGTTACATGTGTTTCGGACTTGAACGAGAAGTGCCCCAAAGATCTACAAATGGTAGACAATGGGAAAGTTGTGGGATGTAAAAGTGCATGCGTGGCGTTCAATAAGCCTGAATATTGTTGCAGTGGAGAATTTGGAACACCTGAAAAATGCCCACCAACTGAGTTCTCCAAAATCTTCAAGGAATCTTGTCCAATGTCTTATAGTTACGCCTATGATGATTTGACTAGTACCTTCACTTGCAAAGGAGCTAATTACGTGATACGTTTTTGTTGAAGCTTACATCAAGACAGTAAAAATTAGTCTGACGATAGGTGTGTACTTTGAATCTGATTCAACATTGCATTCATTTTTATTTTTTTTCTGTTTTTGGAATAAGAAGAGAGTATACAGTTAGAAACATCATCCAAGTGTTAGCACTGATAATAGCAGGTAAAAAGCCCATATGGCTTGATGTTTGTATTTTGTAGTACACTGGCTTCAAATTCAATATATAGAACCCAAGTTTCTGACAAATCATGTACTTTTTTCTTGTTTTGCCCTTTTGTTATAGGCTTTAATGTTTAAAACTTGGATTTTTGGTGATCTAACTTGTCAAATCTAGCTTACATTTAGGAAGATGGAGATGTACATAAAACTATTGGATATTTGAAGCAGTGCCCAGATACAAGAACAAGCAGCTTGTTATAGAAGAAACAACTGGAAAGAGCACTTAATTCTGCCATATTTGCCAGATCATCATGAAATCGACCAAACAAAGAATTTTCAGCATGGCTAGGCTCAACGAAATTCTACTATTTTGTCAATGTAATGTATGATCTCACGACGGTAAGGCCAAGCAAATCTGGCTGACAAGTAAATATCAACAATCCAAGAATAATCAGTTATTAGAAAAGGGAGAGAATGATACCAGATTCAGTTTATATTTAATTGTCCATGAAGGCTTTGAATGGCATGGATCAGCGTGTTCATCCAGGAAGCATAGAAACATCCACCACAATGCAAATAATAGTACAAATTGTAAAACCCCATTTCTAAATTTAGTAATAGCATGAATTGTATTTAGTAATTAATTCTTTTTCTATTTGATTTTTGGTATTGTCGTAAGAAAGGGGTATTTTTGTTAATTTTTAAAGTTGCGTTAAGGGGTAAGAACGAGGAAATAAATCCTGATGGGTTTGCATTATAAAGAAGGAAAAATTTGGACATTTCTCCCAGGAAAAGCTTAGGTGGCGGGGTTAATTTAGAGAATATTGGGGGGCATAAATAATTTCAGAAAAATGTTTTGTTTAAAAAAAAAGAAAACTGGGCAGTTCGCCCAAAGGAAGATGAAGACGTGAGCTGAGGGGGAGAGTAAAAACAGAGCAGGAAAAAAAAAAAAAAAAAGAAGAAGAAGAACAGGGAAAGAAGAAAAAGGAGAAGAGAGGGGAATGGGTGCGGCTGAAAATGGCAGAGTGAGAGAGAAGAAGAGAGGAGAGAAAGGGAGAGGATATATTAGTTTTTGAATTTTGAGTCTGTGAACAGTGCATCATCAAATCGTGATCTGCAGCTCGTTTGCCGTCCGATCGTTCTGTTATTTGGATATGTTGTTCATGAGACACAGCTCTACATTATGAACGGTGAAGATTGAAATCCAAGCACTGTAATAGGCAGTCAATTATAGGATTAGAAGAGTGAGTGGCAAAAATCAAACCCTTTTCTCCATATTTCAAGCGTGCATGTGTGATTTGTTGAGTTTTGTTTCTAAGATATGAAAGATTTTACATGCATGGAGATACATTGCATCCAAATGCTTAAATTCATGTCTGCATGTGTAAGTTGTGTTTTCCATTTTATTGTTTGATGTAAGTTCTGAGTTAATTGCAAAGTTTACTAAATATTGCTTTTTCCATGCTTCGTTGAGCCTTATGGAGAATTGTTTGATTGTGGTTGAGTGCTGGAATTTTTGGTTTCATGGGTGGAGATAGTTTGAGTTGTTGAAGGAAGTTTAGTTTGAGGGAACAACTTGAAATGTCCGAAATTCCTTTTTACTTTGAAAGTACCCGTGCAACCTATACTCTTAAGTTTTCATGTATTCTGCTTATATGATGGCTTTAAGTGCATGCCAGTTAACAGAAGAAAGAAATAGGTGTTCTCTGAAAAACCACATGTCAATTTGGGTGGATAATGGTTAGCACTTGTGTTAGATTATATAGAATTAATGTGTTGTTGAAATTGGAAACTTACAGATCTGATTAATTGGATGGTGTGTTGAGTTATGCATGTGGGGTTTTATATATATACAGGATGTGGTACAAAAATCTTCTCGGTAAAAAGGGAAAATGGGGTGCTTTTCGTCAGTCTTGAAAGTATGTTTTGAAAACTTGCATTTTACCCCCCATTTTCCATGAAATCTCATATGTTAGCATGATTTATCCTTATATGAAATATTATTATTATTATTATTATTATTATTATTGTTGTTGTTGTTGTTGTTATTTTTGCTCTTGGGTTTAATTATAATTATAATGTGTTATATGAGTTTTGACTTTTAAAAGTTATGTTTGCTTATGATTTGTATCGGACATATGCTAAGATCATGTGATGTTGAATTAATTTTCAATCTGGGTTAAACCGTCAGTTTCTGAAACATATTTAGAAAATTATAGTTTCACCCCTATATGTGATTTTTTTAATATTATGTCATATATTTATGATTTATAAACACATACGTAATATGCTCTTGACGTACACGTTACCTGAGATTATGCATGAGTATGTTGTGGTGCTAAAACCACCCTACGAAGTACCCATCCCCCAAAGATACAAATTTTTGGCTCTGCCTGAGCGATGCAAATTCCGCCGGGTATGACAGTTTCAGATTTTGGCTCTGCGCATGCATATGACAGTTATCAGTGCTCTGCCTAGGCGTTGAGTGGTCCGTCAGGTATGACAGTTTTGAGGCTCTGCCCGCGCGATGATAGACCTTGTCGGGTATGACAAGTACGTCCCTCGTTCTGTCTGCGTGTGGGACGCCCACCAGGTATGACAGATTTTTCCAAGGGTACTGGTTGTGGTGAGAGTTTTCTAATACCAAAAGTTGAGGTTTTATTCAGGATCCGATTCAGAAAAAAAGAAATAAGTCAGAGTACAGTTTACTAAGTGCAGGATGGTTAGAAGTAAATCATATATTGCATACATGATTGGGGTGGTTGTTCTATTGCATATTCATAGAATTATATTGTCGTCAGGATTTGCTTGAGAATTGTTGTATGTTATCATTATTTCTTTTAAGCAGTGAGCCTCCGCTTAGGGCTGTGCCACGCGTCGACATCTTTTTATATGGGTTTTATATTTATGTCGCATTGTATTTTGGACTTTCGTTTCAAGAACTCATATTTTACATCATGTATTTCCTTTTGTTTCATGTTTTGGAAGGTGTAGTATAAGTGGAAAACCTGATACCACAAGTTTCCCTAACTCTTTTCTTTTGTAAAACGAAAGATGATGCATGTCTTTTTGAGATGTTGGAAATGGAAATACTATGATGTTATTCAGGAAAAGTAAGTCTTTTAACAGGTTTCATAGTTTTTCTACATGGCACGTCTCAGGTATCCGAGTCTTGTGGGAGCGTTCGGATCCTACAAGATGAGGAAATTCGGGACAGGTCGTGTCACAAATGATTATAAAAGTCGTCAAACTTATCGCACAAGCAATGTATTCTATCTGAATCGAAATTCGTATTATGGAGGAAATGCTACCAGTCGATTGGATTACATGTATAATTTACAGGCAACTTGTGTATTTCCACTACCAAAAACAGCTTAAATCGTGAAAAAGTTAGTTTCGTTTTGCAAACAAGTTTGCTTCTCCCTTAAATTCATCACATCACATCACCTTTGAATTTTTTTATGCAAATGGGAAGGAGGGTAAAACCTTGAATGAAGGCAAAAAATTTCCAGAAGCTATAAACAGTGGTGACCTGTATGCGGTAGGTGGAAGGAGGAGAATATCCTATGATGATGTGCAACAGCTGAAACTCCTTCCCCCAGACTCTGGCTCCTGACCAGGGACAACAATCTTGGTACCCGTGAGAAGCGTTGCACTGCCACCGGATTCAGATTCATCATTGGCGACAAGAGACTTTTTGGTAACAACTCGATAAATCTCTGTCAAGACTGTGACAAAAGATGTTTCAACATTAGTTGACTCAAGAGCTGATGTCTCCATAAAGAACAGGTTTCCCATTTCAGCAAACTCTTTCGCATCCTCAGTAGGTACAGCTCGAAGGGTCCCCAGATCAGACTTGTTGCCTACAAGCATGATCAAAATATTTGTATCTGCATGTCCTCGCAATTCCTCCAACCATTTGGCTACATGATCAAACGACTGACGCTTAGATATGTCATAGACCAGCATTGCCCCCACTGCACCTCTGTATATGCACTTGTAACAGCACAATACTTGAGACCACCATTAACAGTACACACAGAACAACAAAAATATAAACATATTAGTTTCTAGTGTTAGATCTTTATCCTAAGAAAGCTGTGGAAGCTGTTACACCAGATTTACCTTCAGGATCTCTTTCGGTTACCTAGCTTATCACGATGTGTTCTGTTAGCTCATTTAGATTTTCTGTTATGCACTTAGTTAGTGATTCAAATATTTAAAATTGATTCACTTATCCATGCTGATATTTCTGGTGTAATTCAAAATCTTGTAATCCTCTATATATATGAATATACACGAGAGCTAGTATCTCAAGGAACCAGATCTTACTTTCTTTCAATTTTGACTTGGTATCAAAGCAATTCTTTGCGCACGCAACTCGATCCCATATGGCCTCATGAATATCTTCCGCTGCTTCTTCATTTGTTATCCTAAATATCACATCTTTGGTTTCTGTCAAATTAGATGGAACCAATTACTTGAATTGGACAACCCAATTCATTCCGGTGCTTAGAAGCCATGACTTACTAAGCATTGTTGATGGTTCAGAGGAATGTCCTCCTCAATATCTTGGTGATTCCACTAAGAAATCTGCTTCTGATATCAATCCACAATATTTGGTTTGGCAGAAGAAAGATCAATTCATTTTAGCATGGTTAAACTCTCACTGAGAAAATTCTTTCTACAGTTTACGGTCTTACCACATCCAAGATGGTCTAGAACGCATTGGCCAGCAGATTTGCTCCTCAATCTCAATCTCATATCTCCCACCTCAAAAGACAACTTCAAACCTTACAACAGGGGAACAAAACCTGCTTTGACTACCTGTTTCTAGCAAAAAGTTGGTATGATCAACTTACTACAACAGGTAAATCTGTG